TATTTCACAATGAAATGACTATGTGTTCTAAAAATAGAACACAGCAATGATCACAAAAATGAGTGTGATGACGTGGCAACTATAAATAGAAATCGAATTTGATGTGGAGACATGTCAGATTTATAAAAATAGAATCGAATGACGTGGTAACACATCAATGAGGTTAAATAAAACTCAAATGACGTAATCATTACGTGGTTAAAACTCAAAGAATTATGGGATGAATATCACAAAAATCTAAAAATTAGTCAGCACAAAATCTAAAAATCTCAAATAGAAAGGTCAGCTGACTCACTGACCAAAATTATAGTAAATTTATAATAAAAATATTATAAAATATAATAAAAATATATAGTCAGTAAAATATATATATATATTTTTTGGGGTGTCAGAGTCAGAATAGGATTAATATTGGCACACCCACTGACTGTTATGGGTTTAAAAACATAAAAATTATGGAAAAAACATGAAACACTATAAGATTAATACAATGAATAACAAATATAAAATAAATAAATAACAAATAAATAACAACGTATGGTATAAAACACAAAAGTCAGCGCAACTGAATTATTAGATCGCTGACCCCAATATATATAGTAATGTCTATGTGGCAGGGTTGAAAATAACGTTCAAAATTTTCAAATGGTGATGAATTAGGGTGTAAGAAAGGTGCAGAAATAAGAAGAATATGTAACATAGAAACATCAAGAAGCAATGAAACATACGAAAACAAATAAACAACAAGAGAAAGATGAGGTATTACGAAAGCAATGAGGAATTAAAATGACGATTAAATAAAAATAAAACAGATAAAATAATAAAAATAATTATAAAAATATTATAAATAATAAATATAAAAATAAATATACAACAAGTGATTATAAATAAAATAACAAAAGATTAATAAAACTAAAATTAAATTAAATTATTTCATATAACGATAATTATGTTCGTCATAATAGAATCGAATTTCTTCTAAAATATCTTCAAGTGAGCCATAATTAGCAACAAGATTCCGTACATCACATAACAAATATTGTAAATAATTAAATAAACATTGATCAAATTGATATTCTTTAATAAATGATAAATAATACGACCAATATTTAATAGCATAAATAAAAGCTTTACCACCTTCGGTCAAATTACTCTTAAGTCGTTCATCTAATTCAGCATTTAATTTATTAACAGCTTGTTCAAGGCAATACAATCTAGTTGTAGACATGAGAAGTTACAAATAAAATGAAATTATTCATCTTTAAATATGTAATGTATAGTTGGCATTAATGCATAAAACGTATATCCACGTCAATTAAAGTATAGTTATAACATAATAAATTATAATAAAACAGACACAGACATTGTCTGTTAGAATAAAAAATTGCCTGTTTAATGATGTGTATACAAATATTTAAACGTTTCAAATCAACTAAATTATCAATTCAATGAATATACCAATAGAAGACCGCGTAGATGCATGTCGCTTAGAAGATGTAAGTGTTAGTTTATTATCAAGCTACTTTATAGATTTAGACGGAATAGAAGAGTTATGCGAAAATATGAAAGATTTATACAACAAAGAACAAATATCCACACTCGGTGATGAAAAGTACTTACAATTAATGGAAAAAGAAGCTTATTTAGTTGAAGATTTAGCAATAACATCAATGAGATTCTTAAGAGAATACAAAAAGATTATTAATATAATGAAAAATTGTTCTACAAACAAAAGAAATCAAGACATTAATTAATCAATTACTTTTTATTGAATTATTCTAAGAATTTTAATATTAATTCAGCTCCAATAATAAGTATAATCAAAATTAATAACACAATAGCAGATGCAATAGAATAACATATTCTTAACAACACCTTTGGCTGTCGGCTTAGTAAAGTATTATTATTATCATTTTCATCTTCATTGTCTGGCTTACGCAACATACTTTATTCAAATAAAACAAAATAGTTACTAATTAATAGTTAAATTATTTTTATACTTAAGATAAAATCCAAAGTAATCATTAGTTATTATTAATAAATCTTCTTTCTTCTTATATGATTCAAGTTCAACAAATCTTCCTCTCTTAGTTAATCTTTCAAACTGTTTCTCCAAATTACTACAATATAATAAAACAAATACGTTCTTTTCATATTCACCCATTAACATTGGGTAAATTAATTCACCAACTAAATAATTAGAAACACTATCAGAATCATTTATAATGATATCAAAGTCAATATAATCAATGTTTTTATCGCCAAATTTAGGAATTTCATATCTTTCACATAAGCTGTCCAATTTCATTTCAATTTTTATACGCTCATTAAATGTAAGTGTATAATCATTCTTACAAAATATATATAAAGCTTCACAAGGATGTCTTTCCCATAAGACAATATCCGCTTCTTCATAATCAATAGTATTGAGTTGTTTTTCATAACAATCCAAAACATATAATTGAAATTCATAATTACTAATTAAACCACCATGTAAACGTTCCAACATATTCATACCATTAGAATCAAAATCAATATACTCACGAATAAATACAATTTCATCTCTATTTAAGAAATAGTCATGAATACGATTAATAACAGTAGTTTTTCCGACAGCCAAACCACCACTAAGAAATATATGCTGTTTAGCAAATTGATAAATATATTCTTCAGTATTAATGTAAGAATTGGTTAAACTATTAGAACTAGTCATTTGTTAAAACGAGATACTAAAATTTCTCTTTATATTTTGACAAAAACTATTTATACAACAACAAATACTAAAAATAAATACTAAAACCGATTTAATTATCAAGTTCGACTTTTTTAGGCTTTTTTTCATTATCCTTTGAAGTAATTGGCTTAAGCAAAGCTCTCTTGGATTCGTTTTCAAGTTCTTCTTCACGAACACAATTAACATCATCATCGTCATCGATAAATTTACGAGAAGATTTCCTAATCCAATCCGGTATAGTGCTCTGGTCAATCATTTTCTTATTAGTCTTCTTAGCGAACTTTCTATTCCAGGCATTAAAAGAATTCATTCCAATACCGCTTTCATCCAAGAATCTAGAAAGACGTTCACACCTTCTTATACTTTCCAATTTATAACGAATTAAATCACGCCTTTCATCATCAGTTTTCACTCTTTCACTATTATTAATCTTCCAGTCTATATAGGAAGGTTCCTTCATTGTATAGTAAAACTTTTTGAGGAAGGAATTTACGTTAGGATCTACTTGAGACTCTGTATAGACATCGGCTATATCCATACTTGCTACATCTGAATAAATATCATCCTTTGGGCGATTTATATTTGACATTATGATTTGATGTACTCCTTTAGAGTTCAACCCTTTAAATAGGTCATTCCACTCAATGATGTCATAAACACGTACTAAAAAACCTCATCGGGTCATATAAATAGAAACATTTTCAGATCATAAAACAACAAAGATGTCAAAAGAAGAATTTAATAGTGAACCTAGTAAATTAGATGAAATACATTTAAAAGACGCCTTAGCTCACAATAAAGCTCTGCATTTTACATCCAGGTATATGTACTTAACGCTATGGGGAGACGAAGTCTCAAATCAAACACAATTCAAAGAGATAATAGATAGAATAGCCGGGGCAACAAATAATGTACAATATGCCCATATCTCTCCAGTTGAAATTGATGAAACGAATCCAAAGCCACATCAACACTTATTGATTGTAACTAAAAGACCCAAATCATTCAAAGCAAGACCAATTATAAATCATGCAGATGGAACTAAGCAGACATTTTGGTATACGCGGGTGAATTCATACACCTCAAGAACTGGTGATATATCCGCAATTATTAAGTACATAACAAAGAAAGGTGCTGGCATGTTTAAGGGAGATCCTTCAAATAAAGAAGACTTGAAGCAGACATGGGTTAATGCTCTAACAGATCTAGATTCTTATCAAGACTACAATGAATTAGAAAAAAATTTACTAAGTATAAATGCTGAAAAATATATCCAGCAAGAGGGCAAGATTAAAGCTCGCTGGATGCGCAAGAACGCTAGAAGATTAGACGTAGAACAATATACAAGAACAGACTTATTCCCATGGAAAGAAGATATGGAGGAAATACAAACGATCCGTAAATGGTTACGCTGTGCACAAGGGGACAAATATAGAATGGGAAATCTATTCATTGTAGGTCCAACCAAGACAGGAAAAACCGAATTCGCTATCCAAGAAATATTTCTAAAATATAATACCTTTATGTTAAGAGGAGACTCTCTCTTCGATGCATATGATGATGAACAAAATTATAAGTTTATATTATTTGATGATATAAATTATGATAGAAATCTAATTAGACTTATTAAAGCAATTACATCAACCATTAATAAAAAAACAATGGTAAATATTAAGTACTCTAAAGCAATAGTTACTGCGAGACCTTGTATTCATTTATTAAATCAAAAAGAGTACGAAGGAGTTGTAGATCTCATGAAATACAATGGCGGGTATAGTTGGTGGAAAAGGAATTCTTTAACAGTTTTTATTGATAAAAAATTGTATAAAGATCCAACGGAATCTGAAAAAGATTCAGAAGACATGGAACAACAGGAAGAGAATTACAATGCATTAGAAGATCTCCAAGATAAATATGATGAAATAAAAGACATGCCAGAAGATCAAGAATCAGAAGACATAAGCCCTATTGAGCACCTTTCTTTTTACTCAAGAGTAATGAATCTAATGGAATCATTAGGTTATAATGAAGAACAATTAGAAGAATTAAATAAGAAGATGAAAGAAGCCAAAAAAGATAAGAAACTGAACAGAATGTTGAACGAGTCACAAGAGAATAATAGTAGCATAATGGAAGAGTGGAACGATGATTTAGAAAATTACCAGCTTGACAACCCATTAGGTATGAATAAAAAAGACTTTGAACATTTTGAAAGAGAGAATATGACATCCTATGAAAAACAAAGAAGTAAATATTTCAACAACACGCCCAATGACAATACTATGGAAGAAGAAGACTATGATGATGATGATGATTATTCCAATGGACCATTAGAACACACACCTTTTGGAGGGAAAAATGATGATATAGACATAATATATGACTAACAAATTAATTAAATTTCTTTTTCCTTTTCTTAATTTCTTTAATACTTTCAATAGAACTACTCTGAGAAGGATCATAAGGACTACCATCTACAGTCTTATGACTAACAGTACGAGTATCAGTATATTCAAGTAACTTACGACGATCTTCTTCAAGACGTTCATTTGCAATTTGTTCTTGAACCAAACTAGCTATTTGAGCATCAGTAAAATCATAAGGTTCAACAGGAAATTTCTTTCCAAGTTTAACATGATACTTACCCGGTTTCAATTCTTCAACAACATTTCCTTTCAAAAGAGATTTATCAACATCCACACGCATAAATTTAACATCGTATTTTTTATTTCCTTTACTAGCATTTCTTGTTTTCTTTTCAATAGATTCAACATCACCACCAACAACATTTGCAACTATACCTTGCATTTGATTATTACTTAATAAACGTTTATCAGCACTATAATATTCATCAATATATCTCCTTGTAATAACATTCCTAAAAGCATTATCAAGTCTTTCCGGAGTAGTATCATTAAGTTGAATAGCCTTATTATATATTAATTGTTGATCAATATCACGATTTGTATCATATTCAATCTTCATTTTATCAATATCCTTATCAAGAACATTAGAAGACTGTAATAAATCATTCAAATTGTAAGTATTATTATTTAATTTATTTATAAAATCAGTAAAACTATCAATAAAATTTCCAACTCCAACACTGTTAATAGGAATAGTATAATCATGATCAACAAATATACTCTTTGCAACATCAACTCTTTTTTGTAATTGTTCAAAGAAATGACGATTAGGACCATATTCAAGAGGACGATTTCTAGCAAATTGTTTAACAACTCTGGGGAATTTTTCATATAATTTATTTAATTTTTTGATTATTGTAGGATCATTTACAAATGAAGGTCTTTCAAGTTTAACATCACGTACACGAGTAGCAACAGGAACTAATACAGAAGCAGTTCCACTTCCTCCATCACCTCTACTAGGATTAATACCACCTAAAACATTAAAAGCGGCATTAGCTAATTCATTACCTCTACCAACTTCTTCTTGTATATCAGCAATCAAATTAATAACGGGTGACATATCTCGCATCCTTCCTTCATTATATTTTCTAATATTACTAGCAATAGCACCAAACTTAGCATCAAAACGTCGTTTAGCTCCAGCACGCATAGCAGGATCAGATATACTTCTAATATATTGAGCAACTTGATTTTCATTAATATAAAATCTATTACCCATTAACTTTGTTATATCACTAATAAGCTTCCATTTATTAAATGTAACTTGATCAGTTTCTTGTTTAAAAACTTCCTGACTCATTTTCCTATCAATCTGAGGAAAATTTTTCTCTAAATAATCAAAATCACTAGCATATGTTTTATTTTCATCTTCCAATACTTTAATACGTTCATTACTTTGATCAATACGTAAATTAAGCCTATTCAAAAAATTGTTAATATTATTAATTTCAGATTTATATAAATCAGGTTGATTAACTCTCATTTCATTTATACCAGCAATAATACCATTAATAAGAGTCTGCATAATACGTTGCTCATTTTTAGAAACATAAATAGCATTAGAAAGAGCATTCAAACCAGCATTATACATACGATCACGAGCATTCATAGTTTTATAACTCTTTTCAATTTCTTCATTCATTTTTCCAATTGTTCCATATACATTATTAATATCATTACCATATTGACCAAGTAATTTCTCAAATTCAGGTATACGAGAAACAACTGGTCTCATATCATTAAGTATAGTAGTCATCTCTTCAAGTAATCTTTCAGAATAACCAAAACGATGTCGAAGAAATATATTATAAGACCTCAAATCTTCTTTAGTAACAAACTGTTGTTGATTACGTTTTAAATCAATATTCTCCTTTTCAAGTGCTTCAATACGTCTCTGATTTTCTCTAACCATCCGATTAATTTCTTGACGTTGAAGACCTCCAGCTTTTATTTGCTCTTTAATATTTTTATTCTCGCGTCTAAGATACTTAATCTTTTTATCAATTTCATGACTATAATCATCATATGTAATAATATTAGGAATATATTGATCATATCTCTCTCTACGTTGATTCCAAATAGGATTTGTATTAAAATAAGGATCATATAACAATTTACCAGCTTCAACTTTATCTTCTCCAGTTTCAACTAATTTACCATCTTCAATTTTATAACGAATACCCTCAAGTAACTTATTAATCATATCATTAACACCTTGTTGATCGAGTTTATTTTGTAATCGATAATCAAGATATTCTTGTAAAGTATTTAATATCCGCATTTTTCCAGTACGAGGATCATATATTTTCATGGGTTCCCAATTATTCTCGTTATATTGTTTTTGAGGTTCCTCTTTCTTTTCCTCTTCTTTATTATCTCCACCACTACCAGCAAGAGGAGTATAAGGAACATATGGTCTACCACCAAATCTATAAAATTGTACTTCATTATCTATAGGTTGTCTAGCACTTTTAAATTCAGTAGCATAACCACTCCAATTTGTATGAAATTCATCACCTTCATAATTATAAAAATCACGATAACGTCTTTTATAACTTTTAAATTGTTTACGATTAAACCGATTCCATCTCGGTTGTCTAACATCAAACCAACGTCTCATTAAAAATAAGTAGATTAAAGATTAGGATTTGATTCAGGCATACCATTATTAGGTAATACAACTCCACCATTACTATAAGATTGATCAGCTGCATTATATACTGTATCAGGATTGATAGAAGGTTTACTGGCATTATCGGCACCACCAACTACAACATAACCAGAAGCATCAGAACTAGAAGGAACAACCAATCCTGTATTATTTTTAGCATAACCAATAAAACCAGCATATGGTCTAAATATTTCAGCATTTGGAGTAAGAACCTTTCTTAATCCTCTCAATGTAACATCAAATTGCCAATGAATAGTTAAAGTACAAGCATTTGCAGCAGCAACATTTTGAGGAGCTTTAATAGAAATAAGTAATTGAGGATTCCATGCACTATACATATTATCTTGTGATAATACTTGTTTTGTATTTGTTGTTGGTAAATACATTGATTTTTCCATCATTGAAGCAGCATCTAATTGTCTAATAACACCCCATCTACTTCCATAATACAATGTTTTTTCATTTGCAGATGAATAACTTGATACAACACCATAATCAGGTACTCCAAAATATTTATTACCAGAAATATCAACTACTTTAATTTTAACACCATTTCTATCCCATGCAGTACAAATAGAAGGGAATGTCGCACTATTTAATAAACCATTACCAATAAATGTCATTTCAAGTGATGCTCTAACAGCATTAACTTTATATTGATCATACATTCCCATATAATTTTCAAAATATTGAGTACTTGTTAAAATAGCATTTACATTTCTAATTAAAGTACCTTCACTTCCATTAGCAGGTACATTAATAGTTACATCTTCTTGTGTAGAGATTACCACGTTAGTAGAATCTCTTTGTTGCATTGCACTTGCAAAATTACCAAATGCTTGTCTTCGAAGAGCACTTCTTCTTCCTCTTCTTCTCATAGTACGTCTACCTCTCATTCTTCTTGCCATAACTAAATGAAAATAACAGTTCAATTAATTACCAGTTAATAAAGGAATCGTCTTACCAGATACTGAATCAATTTTAGTAATATAAGTAGTAGATGCAGAATTAGCCGAAACATAACTAGCAGCATAATACTCATCAGAATTTGTCCTACCAATATTAAGAGCTCCAACATTATAAGCAAACTTAGCTGTACCAGTAAGTTTATCACTATTAAGATTAACTCCAACAATAACACTATAATTATTAACGTTATTAGAACCAACTTCATTAATAAAACTATTAGCATCAAAAGCGTGATTTTTATCAACTGCGGCCATCGAATATACACGAATTGCATTATTAACATTACCAAATGCAATAGCGTATAAATATTTATTAGAACTTATACTACTAGTACCGAGTATAGCAGTCCAAGTACTATCCCCAGAACGTATATATATATCAAATGAACCATTTTGAGTGGTATAATGACCTTTACCAGTAAGCGGAATCTGTTCACTATAATTAGTAGTACCATCACTAATACTCCATCTTAAGAATGAATACGTTTCAACTATTTCATTCCTAGTTGTTCGTAATTGCTTAAAACGAACAGTAATATATCCCATTACCTTAAGAAGATAACTATCATCGATATTCAAGGTGGCACCACTAACAATATCATTTAAATATGTTGTCCATTTAGCATTATCAATAAAAGGCAAAACAGTACCACGATATGAAGTTATTTCAATTCGAGTAGTAGCTTTAAGAATAGCATATAACGCATTAGGTGCCTGTTCAGTAGGAGCCGCACCTTTTTGTAATGTACTAACATCATTATATTTTACACTAGAACTAGAATTCCATTCTAATTGACTATCATCAAAATATTGTAATACACTTAACAATCTAGTATCAGATTTATCACTTTCAGTATTATTTTTAACTCCTGGTATACTAGCTCTAGCACCATATAATATAGTAGGTATAAAACGTCCATTTTGTATCTCTGGTTTAAATTCATATAACTTACCACTCAAAATAGTAGGAATTGTCATCATTTTTTCACTACTACTAACACCTTGAATATCTAATGATAAATGCATTGGTGCACCGGGCATTTTAGATTGATAAATATAAGAAGAATAAGAAGCGAACTCTTCATAACTAGGTTCAGAATATACAGCATTATTATCAATATTATTTTGATAAAATCCACTTGGAATAGTTCTTTTAGCAGCCATTCCATAAATACATGGAAATGTTACTTCTTGAGTAGCAATAGGACCATTTTCACCACTAGGTTTAACAATTTTCTTACCAATAGCATAATTTGTATTCAAATAAGTCAACAAATCATTAGACTTATCAGCTTCAGTCAAATCACCAGCAGTAATCTTTGTAATTAATTGATCATAACTAACAGCAGTAAAACTCGTACCAGAATCAGTACTAACTCTATAAGCATATTCCTTATTAAAAACGGCATTAAAATCAATTTTAGTAGATACTCCTTTAGCAACATCACCACAAATATGAACATCCATAATTTTAAATTGATCAAAACAATCACATAATTCTCTAAATATAATACTTTTATTCAATAATCCAAGTGAACCTATTGTATGTACATCAACACCTAAACCGTTAGCATTATTCATAACAACTCGACCAGTCCAAGAATCACTTATAGGAATTGTAGCAGTTAATTCTTGTTGTGTACTCCTTTTAACAACATCAATATTCTTTCTAGGTTTTAAAGCATCACGTCCACTCGTGGAATTAGCAGCAGATCTCATCTAAATGAATATTAAGTTAAGATGCAAGAACTCTATGACATCTCAGACATATCCAATTTATTAAAAAGAACAAATAACAAATCTTTTGATATTATTTCAGAAAAAAATAAATATACATTATACAATTTTCCTTCTTCATCTAATTTACAACAAAAAACAATTACTTATACATCAAATGGTATTAAAGATTTAGTACCAGATGACGGTTATGATGGAATATCACAAGCTAAAATTAACATTATTGTACCTCAACAATCATTACAAGAAAAAACAGTTACTTACACAACAAGAGGAACACAAACACTACTACCAGATACAAATTATGATGGAATATCTAAAGCAACGATTAATATAAATGTACCAGAACCAGTATTCAATGAAATAATAGCAAATATATCAGACAATGGAACATATGAATATACTCCAAATCCTTCAACAGATGGTATTTCAAAAGTAACAGTAAACGTAAATGTTTTACAATATTTTATTGACAAACTAAATTGTTATTATTTAAATGTATCACACATACAAAATTTAAGAGAATTATCAACAATTATTGTTTATGGACCTACAGCAGAAGCTAATATCAAATGGACAAATAGATGGGGAAGATTTATAGGATATTCAGACACTGCATCAATCACATTATCTTCTTCATGGCCTTTCTTAATAATGTGGAAAGGTTCAGACAATGAAGCATACATTCAATTACAACGTTCAACATCAATTCCAATACGTAACGGAGTACTTACATGGGTACATGTCTTAGAAGAAGACACATCAACAGTTATTTTACGTTGTATGGATTCAACAAAAAACGACAGAGCTTTATTTGTTTCATATGTAGAAGAATTCTCAGAACCAAGAGATTTCATAGATTTATACTTCTTCTATCACACAATATTTAATTAACTTTTTTAATCTCTTTATTTTCATTTCAATGGAAGAAATATACGACGTCACGGCCTTATCAAATGAACTCAATGAAACGGGACAAACTTACTTTGACATTATTTCAGAAAAGACAACATATAGACTAGAAAATTTCCCCCCTACAGATACATCAATCAGAAAAATAGACACTTTCACTTTCACTGATAGATACGGAGACAACCCAGTAACAGAAACAATATTATTTTCTCAGATAGCTCAACACAGATATTTCGTAGACGATACTCCAACAGCAGATAATCTAAAATCGAACGCTTATATAACACCAGGTGGAACATATTGCATGTTAATTCATAATAATTCAACAAGTTCACTATCAATTCCACCACCAACAGACGCTCCAGGAACAGATCAATTAATAATCCGCCTTGACAACAACACAACAACAGTACCAATTACTTCAAGAAAAACTTCAACTTCAGTAGTTTCTCAACCACCGGTAGCAGGAGGAGGAGATACTTTAATAATAATACCACCAACAAACAGAACAAACGTTCATTTTATGAATACTCCTCCTCAAGAAAACATGAAAATAAGATTAGGTTGCAGTATAGGAGATATAACCTCGACATACAGCTTATTCTCTTTTAGCATTCAAATGTTTGACTTATCAACGCTTCTTTCAAAAACTTCTTAATTTAATTTCTTTGTGAAAATTTAAGGTTGTCAGTTGTCAGGAAAATAAGAGTGAAATAACAACCGAAGGGAAGTGCATGTAACGATTTCCTGATAACTGATAACATTAAATCAAGCAAAGGAATTATATGTTATATATCCCATAACAGTCAGTGGGTGTGCCAATATTAATCCTATTCTGACTCTGACACCCCAAAAAATATATATATATATTTTACTGACTATATATTTTTATTATATTTTATAATATTTTTATTATAAATTTACTATAATTTTGGTCAGTGAGTCAGCTGACCTTTCTATTTGAGATTTTTAGATTTTGTGCTGACTAATTTTTAGATTTTTGTGATATTCATCCCATAATTCTTTGAGTTTTAACCACGTAATGATTACGTCATTTGAGTTTTATTTAACCTCATTGATGTGTTACCACGTCATTCGATTCTATTTTTATAAATCTGACATGTCTCCACATCAAATTCGATTTCTATTTATAGTTGCCACGTCATCACACTCATTTTTGTGATCATTGCTGTGTTCTATTTTTAGAACACATAGTCA